CCCAAACTAGCCCTGTGCCTTTTTTGTCTCCGACAGTCACCTCATACCAACAGCAGCCTCACCCTGGCAGTTGCATATTTGACCCACCACCAACCTGTGCCACTGTCATCTCTGACAGTCACCTCATCATGGCAGTAGCCTGTTTTAGTTAGCTCCTCCTTCAGCTGTTTCACCATCTCCCCTCACCCCCTTCCCTTTCAACCATCCCCTCCACCTCCCTCCCACCCACCTTGGCACTAGCCTGTTTTAGCTCCTCCTTCAGCTGTTTCACCATCTCCCCCACTCCCTCCCCACACTCTCCCCATCCCCCTCCCACTCCCCACTCTCCCCATCCTCTCCCACTCCCCACACTCTCCCCATCCCCTCTCCCCCACCCACCTTGGCAGTAGCCTGTTTGAGCTCCTCCTTCAGCTGTTTCACCATCTCCCCCCGACGTGCTGGGCGCTGCTCAAAGCCTCCCGCAGTTTCTCTTCGATGTCACGGTTCTCCCCACGCAGCTTCTGGATGGTCTCTTGCCGGTCAGACACCTGGGACAAACAGCCACCAGTCAGTGTTCTTGTGTTTGGGTAAAGCAACGGTCACTCACTTAGTGCTGGGAAAAAGCAGGACAGACAGACACAAAAAGAACCCAGTGGTGGCGCCCTCCAACCACCCATCATCAGCACAATAAAGTGAACGTGGCAACCAAACTGATTTCTCCACAATTCCTTATTACGTAGAGGGTAACTTTGGTTCAGCCATCCACAAAGACAGGTTCTGGAAACTTCATGGGACAAGACAAAAGTCCAAACATTCTCCACAGTCTGCTGTAGTTGTCAATACTCCAGCATGACGCATGTCTGTGGTGTAGTGGTTAGGCACTCGCATTCTATTCCTGAGAGAGGAGAGTCTTTTATGAATATCTCAGTCTTTCTCGTGGGATGTTGTATTCCTCTCAGCCCGGGTTGGCCCTGACAAGCAGGGTCTAAGCAGCCCGTCTCCAAAATGATTTAAATTGTGTCAATAGGGCTGTAAAATACTTAAAAGTAAAAAACACACAAAAAATCAGAAACATGTATTAAGGCTCACAAACAGACCTGATACTAGAAGATACTGCACAGTGTTGCAGATAAGTTTTACAAATAATAATATGAGCAGTAGTGAAAAAAAGCAAAACTAAAAAGCAAATAATTTTTTTGGTCAAATAATAAGAGAAGTCTAAACTTCCATAGCCTACAGTATTAGTAGAATCTAAAGGAGGTTGGAGAGTGGGGTGGGGGGGCTGTCAGTCGCTGATGGATGTCAGTCGCTGAAACAAAAACTGTGTTCAGGGAAGAAATCCCTGCTGCTTACCACCATGACACACTCTAAAACTGAAGTAAAACTGACAGCCTGAGGACATGTTTGAGGCACATATTGGAGCAAACAAGTTACTGGATTTGTAGAAAGCTAACATATTCATATTGTCAAAAGATAACATATTGATATTGTTCAAAGATAACATATTGATACAGAAACTTAACATACTGATATTGTTGAATGATTACATATTGATATTAAAAGTTAAAATACTGATATTGTTGAAAGTTGTCATATTGATTTTGTTGACAGCAGCCAATTAAGCAGGATAAAGAAGCCCCTAACCAAATCCTATCCCAAACATTTTAAGAAAAAGAAAGCTGCTAACCGTAGCATCTTAAAAGGCATATGTAATATACCACAAGCAACATCTGATCGCTGTCTCCTACGTGAAAGGCATGCGTAACAAGTATCATGGCACGGGGAATCAGGTGCTCATCAATTTTTGGGCATAAGGATTTATTGGTACCATCTTAATAAAGCCTGTTCATTTGCATTCCTTTCGGTGGAAAAAATACTCCTGCACATTTAATGGATGTCAAGATACTTGCAACTAAAGGAAGTAGGGATCTCTTGGAGTTAGAGGTAAAATTAGCAAAAAAATGGCCGCCAAAGTTTGGCCACTTCCCAAGTTTGAGTGTCCATGGAAACTGCAAATTAACACTTTCTGTGCCTTCACCTCCCTCCCCTTGGCCCCCTACCAAGCTTACCTCGGAAGTGAGAGTGTCTCTCGTGTCTTTAGAAGAACTCTGAAGTCGTTGGAGACTGACCGTCAGTTTTTTCACCTGTTACAGGAAACAGCCCCAGAAGCCAAGAGGGTCAGTGCCATTTAACAGTTAAGGGAAAGAGTGTGCAGAGTACGTGTGGGACAACGTGAGGGACAGTGTGCAAGAGTATGTGTGGGACAGTGTGAGGGACAGTGTTGGGGGATCAAGTTCCCAAGATTTAACTCTTTGGGGATGCACATTAGACAACATTATCAGATGTACTCTTCTTTGGAGAAAAAAAAGCATAAATTTGTGATCAATACAGGTTTTTTCACTTCTCGTTTTTTTATCTGAAACTTTAATTTAAAATTTTAAAAACAAGATAAAAACCCATATTATTGAACTTTGTAAATTCATTTTTCTGATTTTTTGTTTGTTTGATGGGTCGAAATGAGCAGCAACATTGCCTTTTTGACTGCAGACGATCTTGACATACATGTCTGTTACATCCTTAAAGAGTTAAGGCGAAGCGACAAAAGAAGGAAGACACCCTCCCCAGAAAGAGAATAATTCACTCAGAGGAGGAGGAGGAGGGAGATTAAACAGCAAGAGGAAGATTGTGAAAAAACAAATGAAAGAAAAAAATGGTAAAAAACAAAAACAAAAGAGAGACCCCCAAAAAAGTAAGACGAGACACTCAATCACACTTCTTTCACAAGAAGAACAGTCACACACAGTTGTTAGACTGAGACCCCTTTGCAGGGACAAGAGATGATGACAACACACTCATTTTCCCCACTACCGTTCCTGATCACTCTCTATTTCTTTTCAATCTTATTAGTGTCATCCCCACCTCTACGAACCCCCGTACCCTTGCAACCTAGATCTCTCTGTCTCTGTCTCTCTGTCTATCTGTCTCTGTCTCTGTCTCTCTCTCTCTATCTACCTATCTCTCCTTCCCTCCCCATTCTCCTCTCATATCCTATCCTGAGACTTCTATAAACCCTTCAGTTTTTCATCTCTTGTTTTATCTCAGCAGCAGAAGACAGAATATTCTGGCACTTCACAGTTCACAGACACACATTCACACAGACACACATTCACATCAAAACTACAGACTCACAAACTCACACAATCTCAACATCAACACAGTCGTGATAACAAATAAACAAATAAAAATTATTGAAATAAATCCAAATAACTGGGAAAACTATGAAGAACTGAACAAAAAATATCAACAAAAGTGAGAAGATAAGCAAATAAATAACTGAAACGGGTTTAATGAAAATGAATATAATTCTACTTAGTCTGCAGCAAGTCCAAAAAACTGTACAATAAATTTGTCAATATTCCAAAACTCTGCGTAATCTTATTCCAAATCGGTGTTTGCCAATCTTTGTATAGTCATTGCCCACTTTGCAACGATTATGAGGCTTAACTTTTCTCATCGCCCACCTCCAAGTATTTCCAGTTGGGTTGTATAATAACAACTGTCACTACCTGGGTGATCCCCAACGCTAAACAAAATTACCAAATCGCCCACTGGTGGGATATACAAACTGTACTAACTAATGATCACAAAATTCACAAAGAGCAACAAGCAAGTTTTGTGAAAGATATCATTGTAAGAATAAACAATATTTCTTTTTCAATAATGTGAGTTCAGTAAAGTAGGTGTTAATGCAAAAATTGTGTGAACATGACATTTCTTTCTTTGCCAAATCATAAGATACTGTTGTATTTGAGATATACATTGTGTGAGAACAGAATAACAAACAGGTTGTTGTATTAACGTTAGTCCAGGGGGGGAGGGGTGGTCTCCAAAGCACACGGGGTGGGTGGGCAGTGGTGTTGGTAGATACTAGGGTTAGACAAGCCAAAGGGACAAACAGACGGACTGCTGGACACACTGATTAAACTCTGGTTGGTGCCCAGCCGAACATTAACACAAACACAAACTTTTAGTCTCCCCCACGACCCATGATAAAAAGCAAAAAGACTGACTGGACTTCTCGTTTTCAGCAGGCTACAAACAAACCACACTACACATACAATTATTATATGTCTGCATTGAACTCACAGAGAGTCATATCTTTATAACTCTCATATAAAACAACTGTCCTAAAATGTAGAGGAAGCAGAAGGACAAACAGACACACATACAGACACAGACACAGACACAGACACACACACACACACACACACACACACACACACACACACACACACACACTACAAGCCAATTCAACTATTTCCCCTGCCCCCACATCCTTGACCCAATACATTTCTCTTTTCTCATCCTCACCCTCTACTCTTCCCACTGTTTCACACAAGACAAGCAATCACAACAAACAAGACTACCCGCACACTGAGCCCACACAACAAACAAAAACTAATACAAATCTAATACAGTAGAGCCTTTTTAAACCAAAATAGGATAGCCATATTTTCTTCAGTTTAGCTGGGTTTTCAGTTTAGAGAAGTTCCTCGAGTAGAAGAAAAAACAAATCCAAGATTATTTTTTTTTAAGTTTACCGCTCTTTTATGATTAACCATGTTCAGTTTAAACAGACTCTGCAGTAGTTTATGAAAATAAACTGAGCAAAAGTAGGAGGCTAAAAATATAAAGAGTTTAACAATCTTTCCTACAGAACTGTTTGCACAAAAAAACCCTGACAAAATCTGCACTAAAGGCCAACAAAATATTGAAGAAAGTTAAACAATGGTCCCTGAGGAAAATGTTACCAAAAAACGATACAAGCTATATTTAAAGACTCATCACTGGCTATTTGAGGAAACACAACAGCATACCATGTCAGTTTGCTGGGCAATGAAAGAAAAGAAAACAAATATCCATAACAGGTATAGTTCTGAGAGTTGTGGTCACATTGAGCACAAAACACTTTTGGTTGTCATTAGCAAGTAAAAATCATGTACGAAGATAAAAAAATAAATATAATTATTATTAAGTGAAAATGCCATCCCATTGAGTAAATACAAGCAGTAATTTCGAGGATGAACATCTCTGAAACGGAAAATGAAAGCAATACATGTCATGATAAAGCATGCCAACAAAAAAACAAAACAAAACCGAAAAAAAAGCATGCTACAAGAAAGAAAATAATCATTTGAGCAGACTTGATCAACAGAGCCAAATACAATTCTATCAGAAGGTGTTGTTGGCCACAAGTCTGTGTGACAAAACAGCAAAACAAATCCTTGTCTGAGAACAATTTTGTCAAACACAGGACAGAAAAAAGGGGGGGATACGTGTGGAGTGGAGTTTGACAACAAACCAAAGACTAAATCAGTGAAATAAGCTGCCAAAAACAAAACAGTGACATAGGTTCCAAAACAAAACAAAGTCACGTCATAACGGTTGCCAAAAACCATCATCTCACAGTAGGAATAAGCAGTGATTGTGAGGTGTGGTGGGATGGGGAAGGGGAGGGGATGGTAGGGGTGTGGGGGGAAGGGGAGGGTAGGGGTGTGGTGGAAGGAGAAAGGGAAGGGGGTGGATGAAGAGGAGGAGGGATGGGGGAGGAGGGGGTTGATCTGGGGACATGATGAGACAGAGAGACATGACAGACACAACAATTCTTGCTGGCCCGAATAAGGGAGGAATGGAATGTTAGGAATTATAACATCTAAAGTTAAAAAACAAACAAATTTTTTACAAATCAAAAAACCAAAAAAAACTTATTGACTGCGGGCGGTCTAGCAAGAAAGGGTGAGTGTGGGTGTGAAGTGTGTCGTCCTGTCTTACCTGCCCCTGATAGTCGTCCGTCTGTCCCCTCAAGGTCTGTAACTCTCCCTCCAGCCGTGTGGCCTTTTTGCTGGCAGTCTTGGCCTGGGGGCAAAACATTGCACAAGCTTATTTTTTTGTTTTAGTTAGAGTTTTACAGACACAATAAAGTCATATAAGAGAAGAAGATTAGAGGTGCTGGGAGAGAGTAACATACAAAGTAAATAAAGTTGGAGGAAAGATAGGAATGATAGATGTTTGATAGGAAAGAAGAAACAAGCCATATCTGAGCACCTGCTGACCATCCACAATCTAGCAGCCATTTAGTGCAGGGAAAAACCAAGACACACAGACAGACAAACAGAAACAACTGAGGGAAAGAAAAGTGACAGGCTCCTACCAGCAGCACACTTCATCCACACTTAAAAACAATAAAGAGAAACTGTAAACAATGCACAAGATCACAGAATAACACCAACAACAGCAACAGCAGCAACAGCAGCAACAGCAGCAACAACAACAATAACAGGAGCAACAGCACAACAACAATAACAACAACAAGTACAAAAGATCACAGGAAACACATTACTCATTGCCACAGAGCAACAACAACAATAACAACAATGACAAGTACAAAAAATCACATGACATGTGTACCTCATTATCAACAACAACAATAACAATGATAACAACCATAACAACAACAACAACTAAGTACAACAACTAAGTACAAAGAATCCCACAGGAACGCACATTGTTAACAGCATCAACAACATCAACAACAGCAATAATAAAAACAACCATACAAGACACGCACCTCGTTATCAGCGTCGTTGAGCTGCGCCCTCACGTGTGCCACTTCCTCCTCCAAGGCCGAGTTTCTCTTCTCCGTACGGTACACCTAGTACAACAGACGGGGCCAGGCCATGCTCAATGTGTACACTATGCTAGTATGTACGGTTACCACAGCAATACCACAACAAAGACAACAACACAATATGCTAACCTGTACGGTTACCATAACAACACCACAACAAAGACAACATCACATTATGCTGTTCTTGTAAGTAACCATAGTATCCTCTGAGTTTGTTTGAGTAAGGAGAAGCACACTGACACAATAACTGTCATTCTGTGCTTGGAGAAAGTCATCCACACAGAAATAAAGAAACAACACAGGGAAAGAGAGGAAGTAGGCTCTATCCACTAAACCTATGAAGTTAAATAATGAGACAATTTTTCTGAAAAATGTTTTAAGCGGTCTGACAATCTTGCTATTACAAAAACTCATTGTGCATGTGTCCACATATCATAATATCTAGTACAGGACTTCACATGAGAAAAAATGTATCCCAAAGACCAGCCTGTGCATGTCAGTTTTATAAAGTAATGTCAAAAAACATTGGCCCAGGAAAAAGTAGAAACTTTTGACTTTTGCTGGCCCAAAGAAAACCCAGAGCCCCAGAGAAAGGATGAAACTATTCTTTAATGTTTTCATCCGATACAGCTGACACAGTCAATGTTAACATCAATACATAGAGCTTTTCAATGGGTTCCTAATACAACCACATAGAATTCACCAACAATGTCACTGTTTTTACATTATTTCCAATGTCACTATGTTCTACATCATTTTCATTTTCCTCTTGGCCAAAGTAAAGAATAAAATTGTTACTACATTTTACATTATTTTCCACTCATCCAAGAAGTATACATCGCGACGAGTTCTAAATTATTTCCTATTCCCTCAAGACCAAAGTAACGGAAAAATCATTACTACATTCGACATTATTTCCATTTCCCGGAAGACTAAAGCAAAGGATAAATCATCTCTACATTCTACATTATTTCCATATCCCTCAATACCAAAGTAAGAATAATGCTACTGCTACTACATGCTACATAACACAATTTCCCACTCCCTCCACACAGAAATAAAGGACAGATCACTGCTCAGCCACACAACATTCAACTTTTCACAAGTAAGATTCCACGCAGAGATAAGACAACAGTTTTTAGTGTCTGGATTGGTTTTCACATCTCCCATCGACTACTTTACGTTTCTCCAAGTTTGACAGTTGAAAGCTTCAAAGGTTTCCCCACAGGCATCTATGGTGTGACAGTTGGGCGCTTCGCCGTCACACACAGAAGATCCAAGTTCAATTCTCGAGTAGGAGAGAATCTTTATTGAGTATCCCGATCTTTTAGGTAAGATGTTGTATCCCTCTCAGCCCAGATTGGCCCAGACAGGCAGAGTCAATGTCTGTGCTACCTAAATGATCTAAATTGCGTCAACAAAGGCGTAAAAACACACACTTTAAAGAGAAAAGTTCCCCAAAGAGGTTGTCTTGAGATTGACACATTTACTTCACTATCTGCAGCTGTGTGGTAATGCATGGGTGTGTTGGATCTATTAATTTCACAGTCTGCATTTTTACAAGTTGGAAAAATACATATACATATAATGTGAGTGTCGCAAGCAATTCTGTATTAAGTCTGTTTGGGTACTTTTTATGTCAGAGACAAAAAAACCTAGTTTTTGTTGTGTAGTTCCTGTCAGGAATCAAGAAAAGCAAGAAAATTGTAAGCCATGACCATAGCATTAAACTGCATTTCAGTGGCGTTGAAAGGTGCATTTTTTATGGAGGTTTGGGAGGGTGTAAAAATCGAACTCTCAGAATTTGGACTTAAGTGGATTGCTTGTGACAGCTACAATATGTTCGGGGTTTTTAAAAATCTAAAAACAAAAGCTGAAATCTCAAATGGCATATTATGTTCCAACAGAACCTTTCCCATTTAACACATGTACAATATTGTCCATACAACAAGACAACATTGATACAACATCGGCACAACATTGAGGCAACATTGGCACAACATTGCGACAACCAAGCCCACAATTTACATGCACTGAAAATTTTAAAAACCATGTGCCGACATCAAAACAAACAAAAATGTTCATTTTAAATGTGAACTCAACTGAAAATGAAAAAAACGACACTCAAAGCACTGAAAACCAAAACCAAAACCCATGTGTGTGATGTCATGACAGGAAGAAAAAAAAACATCACAAAAAAAAAAGAAAGCGGTGCGTCAAAAATCCCAGACCAGAATAATAAAACTGAACAAAATGAGTGAACCAAAAAATTCTACAGTCTAAGAAGAAGAAGTAGGGAAGGTGGGCGTAGGGTTGGTTTGGGGGAGGGGGGGGGGGTTGTAACCTCCACCACTAGTACACAGGACATAGAAGTAACAGAAGTAACAGACTTCCCGGGGACCACCTCAGCTGGGCAAAAAGACCTGTGACATGTCTGGTCAAAACTAAAGTGTCACTGTGCCATGACGGATTTGAGGACATTCAAAAACAGAAAATACTTAACAGCTCCGTTTACTACAACACATATTATATATGCAGTCGATATTGTCCAAGACAAAGAGAAGTGGTCAATTGTACAGCTGATTGTCTTGGACTTCTGGTCGTTAACCTGATGATTGTCTTGGACAAGAGGCCTTTAGAGTAAGTGATTGTTCTGGACAGGTGGTCCTTAGAACAGGTTGGACCTGTTCTTAATACAACAGGCAACAGTATGGAGACAGCTGTATAAACTGGAGCTATACAGAAAATGGAGCCACCAGTTTGTCAATGTCAGTTCAACAGTGAGGGGCGATATAGGATTGGAACATCTGTATTGGTGATATAAATACATATGTTTTTATTTCTCTATTTATTCTTTTTTAGATGTAGGTATTTTTACACCACCATCAACACGATTTAGATCAAAGTCACACAAGTAAGTTGCCAAGGATTTAGGGAATAATGAGATACAGTGGGATGGGATGGGTTCAAATTCTAGAACAGAACACAGGGGGAATCTACAACGATGTACTAACAGTTTGAGTTTTGAGTAAAGAGAAGCACATAGACACAATAACGGTCATATGGTGTACTGACAGCTGGAGACAAAAACCAAAAAAATAAAGGTACCAACATAAAGCACCAAAGGTCACGGTCAGGCCATATGCAGAGTTCACTGAATGTAAAAACTTTCTGAATCGTCGATGATCTTAAAGACAGGCTTGTTTGTTTGTTTGCTGTTCACCTGGTTACAAACTACATTTGTGGCTTATTTGTGGATAAAACTTGACAGAAAAATGGTTCATCTCAGCAAGCAATTAGGCAACTCACAACAAGTATGGAAGGAAAAAAAGCGCCTGATTATAAATGTCTATTCGCAACACGTCCCCTAAAGCTTGCAAAGCTGGAACCTACACAAAGGCAAACAGCGGTATGTTCATAACACAAACATCCAAATAGAATGTTACTGCATCAGACAATTCACAATTGTTTGCTGCTGTGTCCAGGAAGTCTGACCCATCCCGGGTCATGTTCTCTGTCCAAGATATGTACACACATACACACACACATACATACACATACACCAACATGCATGAACACAAACACGCAGCACACAAACACATCTACATGTACATTCACACACATACATATCATTAACACTTTCTGTGCTCAGGTTAGACAAAGCCAATCAAGCCCACGCTCTTAAAGGGTTAATCAGGCAAAATAAACCTTCAAGCACAGGCAACAACACAGCAATGTGACGGAAGTCTATCAGCTAGACCAGCAATCTGTCAGCTAGACCGGTAATTTGTCAGTTAGACCAGCACTCTATCAGCTAGACCAGCAATCTGACAACTAGACCGGCAGTCGATCAAGTAGACAAACAATCTTACTATCAGCTAGACCTGCACTCGATCAGCTAGACTCACAATCTATAAGCCAGATCAGCAGATCAGAAGCCTGTAGTTTCTCCAGCAAAAGCTTGCACTCTCAAGAACACGAATGTCAGTACAAAATAATCAATAACATATTTTGCCAGTACACAGTAATCAATAACATAAAATGTCAGTACACTGTGATCGATAAAGTGTGCAACAAAACACCAAGAAGGGGCTGCCCACCACACAAATGTTAGAACGGAGGAGGACGGGAGGGGAGGAGCGGGTGGGGAGGAGGGGGAGGGACTGGGGATGGAGTAAGGGGGAGGGAGTGAAGGGGTTGTGAGAAGCATTGGGTGAGTAAGGAGGGGGCGAAGGCCGACAACACAGCTAGGCTACACATCTGCCGCGGTGTGCTAGATACACAAAGGTGTAAGAGTTACCTCCTCCTGAGCTCTCTTCAGCTGGTCTTCCGACACTGAGAGCTTATGTACCGCAGCGTCACTCTAACAACAACGTGAAAACAACAAAACACATAATGTTATTCCTCCCTTCTACCTCTCTATCTGTACCAGGAGCTTATATACCCCAGGATCACACTAACAACGATGTGGAAACAGCAAACACACAACATTATTCCTGCTTCTTTCTATCTCTCACACTCTCTCTATCTCTATATACCATAAATAAGCCTATGTACCGCAGCGTCACTCTCACAATAACGTGAAAACAACAAAACACACCATGTTATTCCCCCTTCTCTCTATCTCTCTCGGTCTATACATTGAGCTTGTGTACTACAGCATCACTCTTACACCATTGTGCAAACAACAAAATACACAATGTTATTTCTCCTTTTCTCTCTATTACTCTATGAGCTTTGGTCCGATAATATCTTACACTAGCAGAACATCCTGCCATCTTGCACGAGTCAGAAAATTATACATTTTCAATCCCTCAAACCGGCTCAAATCTCCATGATGACCTGCATATTGATGGAGGAATGTGTACACAGTACAGGATCTGTACACAGTACTGGAATGTCCAACTGGACATCCCTTTTCTCCCACCCCACAGCTTGAGGAAACCTGCAGATCTCTTGTCGTAGCCATAACGTTGAACTAAAACCTCTCACTTCAGCGAAGAAAAAGTTACATTTTTCCTGCAAGAAACCAGCGACTCTCCAAGCATCCCAACATTTATCTAAAACTCTCTCAAACAAAAAACTTTACTTTCCACTCGTGAGAAAACATTCTTCTTCCCCTAATAATAAGACTACCCAAGACTCAAAGCTCAAACTGTACAGTTCCTGCGGGAGGTTTCAACAATAACTAACACTCAACATCTTTTTACCAACCACACTTCCAATCTACAACTTTCACCTCATCTAAGCCACAATCTGCAATCCTCAGAATCTACATTATCTTCATCTTGGCTAAGCCATAGTTAACAACCCTCAGCTAAGCCACAATCTACACTTAAGCTACATTCTACCACCCTCACCCCAGCTAAGCAACAATTTACATTTAAGCCACATCTCCATTCCTCACGATCTACGACCCTCACATCAGCTAAGTCACAATTTACAACCCTTAGCTAAGCCACAATCTACGCTTAAGCCACTATCTCCAACCCTCACAACCTCCGAGCCTCACCTCAGCCAAAGCACTGTCCCGCTTCTCCTGCAGGTCAAGAACATCCCGCCTCAGTTTCTGGATGGTGTCGTCACGGCGACCCAGCTCAGACTTGAGAACTTCGTGGTGGTCGTGAGTCGAAAGCTGACCCTCACGAAGTCGCTCCTGAAGGGCACCCAACTGGACACGGGATAGGACAAGTTTTGTTTTCTTTTAGTAGGAGATTTACAGCACTAGCAAAACAATTAGGTCATATAAGTGCCGAAGATTAGAGGTGCTAGAGGAGAGCAAGAAACACAAAAAAAGGAAAGATGAGGACGATAGATGTCTGATAGAAAAGAAAGAAAAAACCGCATCAGAGCACCCCTAACCACATACAGGGTGGGGAAGGGGGTGGGGGGGAGACAGACAGAGCAGTAGAGACAGTGAGACAGACAGAGGGACAGACTGAGAGACAAACAGAGACAGAGAGACACAGAGAGAGAGCAGACAAATCAAAGTTACCTCATTCAGATTCTTCAAGCGCTAATCATTCAGAGAGAGAGAGAGAGAGAGAAAGGGAGAGAGAGAGAGAGAGAGAGAGAGAAAGAGAGAGAGAGAGAGACTGACAGACACACACACATGCACAGACAAGAAGTGGTAGTTACCTCATCCAGATTTTTCATGCGTTGGTCCTTGGCCTCCACCAGCTCCCCCTCCAGGGCACGGATCCTCCGTTCATAATGGCTCACCTGGAGGGAGAGGGAAAGGGTTATCAAAATATGCAACTTAACCCTCTAGACTCACAACAAAAAATATAGGCAAACCACTCTACACTGATAATATAAATGCAATATAAATGAAAGCTTCCAAGGCTAGTTTTTTAATTTTATAATATTTTTGGATTCTACCCCTAACAATAAAATAAAACAACAACAAAAAAGAGTAATAACACTTTTATCCAAACTGTGCCTTGTAAATGTTTTTGTAATTGGAAGTAGGTCTTTTTTCCACAGCAACTCCTATAGCCTGGAATTCCCTCCCTCTGTATTCAAGAGAGGCACCTACTTCCGACTGCATGTAAATCTTGCCTATAAACACATTTATTTAGATTCTATTTTCCTAACTATTTTGATTCATCGATAAACATAAAAGTTATTTATGAGTCTGGCAAATTTAACTCTGCCTATGGTATGTGATCGTTTCAGTTTATACTGGTATACATTTATCACTGTCTGTTATGCATATCATTGCAAAACAAATCTCTCTATGAGCATCAATCAAGCTGTCTTTTTCTTTCTTCTTTCCTTTCAATACTTCAATTCACAAATCATATAGTGATCTATTTTTAGATGATATTTCAGAAGTGTGTCAACAAATCCACATTGCTTACATCATGCGAAGACTGAGAGTGCTGGTCCCTCATGGACAAGGCGTCCATCTTGAGCTGTCGAATCACTTCGTCAGATTTCGTCAACTGAGGGGGAAAAAAATTATTGATGTTCAATGCTCTAATCCACAACAATTTAGATAATTTAACAGGCACTCTACTTGAACCTCCCCAATCACTACAACAGAGAAATATGAAAAAAGAGAGACATACGAATTGGCTATACCCCACCCACGACCTCCCAAAACAACTACACATGAAAAGAGAATGATGAAACAGACAGATATGCGTTTTAACTAATTCCCACCCCCCCTCCTCCCTCCCCCA